TCATGAAGTAATACTTTTTTTTTTTTTAACTTTAGTTTTGTGGTAGTTATTATGGCACCTGGATGGGATGTGGTTTGGGGAATATTTATGGGGGCCTTACATGTCCATGAGTACTTGAATAAAGTAGGGTTCCACCATTTTAAAATCAGAGTTTTTATTCTTTCTGCCTACACACTCCATTACAATCAATGTTAAAAGAATAAAATGTGTTAAATGAATATTTTTAACATTTTTCTATTAGATAGTAATACAAATATCTAAAATTACATCTCTCTTTACTAAAAACAAAACAGACAAAGATGTTAGTTGGAGAAGCAAATAACTTATCCCATAGAAGAAAAAGGAATATTGGAGAAGGAATATTAGAAGAAAAAATGAATATATAAAAATTATATATATTTTTTATCATATACTTATAGATATATGATAGAAACATTTTGTAAAGGCCCCGACCTGTGCCTACTCTAGGGATGTAGAAGTACATTAAGTAAAGTCACAGTTTTCTACAGTTTCAAGATAGCATATCTAGAGAATTCAAAATGCCTATCAATATGTGATGTAGACGTCAAATAAAAGTGTTAAAATAATATTTGTTCTCCTGCTGTTTATGGTAACATGAATGAACATGAAAAGCATTATGCAGGCCCTCCCTGGTGGCACAACAGGTTAAAGCACAGTGCTTTGAAGCTCCTGCAGCACAAGTTCAATCCCTGGTCAGGGAGGTGACAAACATGGCGTGGCAGACCTCTCCTGACCCGCCCGCTGCTTCCCCTCAGCAGTGTATTTCAGTAGACCTCCCTTTTCTGCTTCCCACTCTGTCTCTGGTGACTCCTCGCACACCCTCCACCCTGCATCTCTAGCCAACAACCCAGGTCTTTTATGCATAAACAAATCTTTAAAAAAATAAATAAAAGTAAAACATCCCGGCCCTCCCTGGTGGTGCAGCGGGTTAAAGCACTGCACTGAGAAGCTAAAGCCACTTCCGCATGAGTTCGATTCCCGCCTGCCCCGGAGGTGACCACATGGCGTGGCAGACCTCTCCTGACCCGCCCGCTGCTCCCCTCAGCAGTGTACTTCGTCGATCTGCCTGTTCTGCTCCCCACTCTGTCTCTGGTGAAGCCTCTCACCGCCCCCGAGCCTCTGGCCTGTACCCCAGTTCTGTATGCATAAATAAATAAATCTTTAAAAAAAAAAAAAGTAAAACATCCCTCTTATGTTTATTTTTTTCTGTTTTTAAGTACCTATTTATGAGATGTGGACTGATTTTACAAATCAGTTCAATATTTAGTCAGCCTTTATGGAATCAAAATTAAGCTTTCATTGATGATCCTATTCTACGATTTGTTTACTTTAAGCATCATGTCATGGTATTGAACAGGGTCCCAATTTTATGCAATATTCCACTGAAATCAACTTCAATTTAAATGATCAACTGATGAAGCAAGCAGTTATTGAGTCAGTATCTGTTGTAGGAAATGCATGGGGATGTGTGTGCATCTGTCTATATTTATGTCTATATTTATGCATTATTTCATTATCTGTATAAACAAAGAAGATGAGCCCTTTTCACAGGCCTATCTAAAAAATATTTGGTATTATATTAAAAGTTATGTTTTCTAAAATGTCATTGAGCAGATAATGTCCTGTATAAATTCCTTGACTCCCTGTGTCGGGAAGACAACTGAGCAAGAGATTCTTGTTTGTGTGTAATAATGCACTCTTGTACATCACTAAAGAAAAAAGACAAAATTGTATTTAAAAATAAATGCTTTTGGAAAAAGTAAAGGTAATGTTAAAATTCTAATTAATATCGAATAAAGATCAGCTCTACAGATAATACTTTAATTTATAAGGGATGGAGGCCAACTTGCTTGTAATACCTGCGTGAATGAATGTGTTCCTTGAGGAATCACTAAATCAATCAGTGTCCTCTGCAAGCATATCTGGTATAATTTATCTCTCCTTTAACAAACTTCTATTTAATAGGATTTCACGGGAAAAGTGAGAAACAAATGAACTGGGAATGCAGGCTATCCACGCAAATTTTCAACCAAATACTATCAGTATGCAAATACATATATGTCTTCAGAAGGAGAGACATTTCTATTAAAGCAAATGTCTGTTAATAGCACTAAATTCTGGGGATCTAATGAACAGTATAATGAATAAGGTCAAAATATTGTATTAGGAACTTCAAAGCCACTGAAATACTAGATCTTAACTGTTCTCACAATAAAAAAAAAAAATACATAAATAAGCAGGACCCTCCCTGGTGGCAGAGAAGGGTTAAAGCACAGCATTAAGAAGCTACACCCACTTCAGCATGAGTTCGATCCCCGCCTGTCCCGGAGGTGACCCACATGGTGCAGCAGACCTCTCCTGGCCCGCCCTGCTGCTCCCCTCAACTGTGTACTTCGTCAGTCAGCCTGTTCTGCTCCCCACTCTGTCTCTGGTGGAGCCTCTCACTGCCCCTGTACCTGAGGCCTGTGCCCCAGTTCTGTATGCATAAATAAATAAATATTTTTAAAAACTGTATTTTTTAAAGATTAGAAGACTTCCTTGAAAGTTAATCTCAAAATTTGATATTTTCCTCAATTTTATTGTCATCTTTAAATATATTACTTTTTGCAGGAATAATATAATAGGTATGAGCATAACATAGGGGAAAATTATTACAAAAAGTCTAATCTTAACATGTAGCATAGCTGTCAAGGCAAAATACATTATAAAACACCAGATTTATGTAAATTTAGCCTTATATACATTGCCCTCTAAGGCACACACTACAATCAAGTTCTAGACACTAATGTTATAATTTTTAAATATTGTAAATTTATGTCAGGATTAAGGGGAGGAAATGGAGAGAGCAGGAGTCCTCACAGTCTAGTGGGTTAAACGAAAACACATGACACCAATCAATAACCCTTTAGCCCATAAAAGAGAAGTCTTTTCTGCATTTCCTAGAAAAAGGATTTTTATCTTGCCCTGTGACTTGGTTACCTAAAATTCTAAGTGCCATGATGTGATGGTCACTTCAGACTAGGTAGCCAAGGATATTATAAGGGCAGCATTGAAACATGTATGAGGAATTTCTACTTGCACAAAATGATAAGAGATAGGAAAGAATAAAATCAATCTTTCCTCCCTCTCTTATCTTCTACTCACCCTTCTTTTATTTCCTCAGGTCTGTGTCATTAAAAACAAACAAACAAACAAACAACAACAACAACAAAAAAAAAACCCAACAGTGGTAACATCAGAATTGAGGCTGAACCTAGTAGGTTATAAAGACACAGATGCTTAATTGCAAAGGAATTCAGGAGTCAGTCACATTTGGATAATTACTCCCATATCAATCAACTTTTAAAATTCACTTCTTCACTTTGCAACAGTACCATTCTTTATATTTCACCTGCTCCTTGATTTTAGTCTCTGCAAGAGTTCTAGAAATCTTACTTTTCCTTTACAATCAAACTTTCCATGACTCATTATTTTTATTCCCATTGTCATTCCCTCACTAAATAAAATGAAAAATTTCTCTTTGGATACTATTTATCTACATGCTGACAAGATTTGCCTTAGTCCAATCAACTTAAGAGTTTGAGATTTTTAAAGCCTATCAACCAATATCAAGTCAATCTCCTACCCTGTATCCAAGTAACAAAAGATAGAATAAAAAGGTGATTATTCCCACTTGCTAGTAACCTATTAAAAATTTTATAGATTCATTGCCCAATTTTAGGAAGCTGCCTATTTATTGTGAACCTGTACAAATATATTTAAGGCTGTTTCAACGTATTTTCAGTATCTGTACTTTTATGGATCTTGTAGTCCAGTCTATCTTCAAGGAATTCAGGTTATTTACAAACATGACAAATCATCCCTATCTACCTTTATTCTGAACTACTTCATATTTCAATACATGTGTTGTATACATTCAGCTAATTTTTCTAAAGGATTGAAACAAAATTGTTCAGATAAATTCATGGAAACTAAAACTGTTAAAATGTATGTTATTTTAGGGCCCTCCCTGGTGGCACAGTGGCTTAGAGCACTGCACTGAGAAGCTTAAGCCAATTCCGCATGAGTTCGATCCCCGCCTGCCCCGGAGGAGATCCACATGGCTTGGCAGACTTCTCCTGACCCGCCCGCTGCTCCCCTCAGCAGTGTACTTCCTCTGATCCACCTGCCCTGCTCCCCACTCTGTCCCTGGTGAATCCTCTCATCCTCCACATCTCTGGCCTGTACCCCAGTTCTGTATGAATAAATAAATAAATCTTTAAAAAATATATGTTATTATAATCCCATTTTTACTGACATGTATCTTTTATTTAATTAAAAGTAAAACCAAACACATGGCTCATCAAAGATCTGTTGACCATCAATAAAAAAAAAAGGCATGTTTACTTATGTGAGAAAAATCAAAATTAAAATATATACTAACATACACAAATACCACATATAAAGAGTAACAAAGCCAATTTGGTCCAAGATTATAAATATAAAATTCTTGAATTATCTTCCTAGCATCTGCTAAATAACTGTAATAAAATATTATATTAACTTATATTGCATATCTGCATAATAATATTTGTGAATACATTAACTAATATTCATTAACTGTAAAATATTAGCAAATTAACTAATTCATTAATTAAGGAAGTAGCAAGTGAATTCATAAATATAAGGAGTGCTAAAAAACTAATGAATCTGAAGAAAAATTATTTTCTAATGTGCTAATCTGCCATTTTACCAAAGGAAAACATAACAAAGCAAGTGTGAATCTCACCGTACAGGGAGAACACCATCTCTTTCAATAGCACACTAATTCAAATTTGTATTATAAATGCAATTCCTATATATAAAATATATATCATAGATAAAGATCTGTTTGAGCTTTTAACAGTCCCTAATGATTATATTATATTTAAATCTCTCTTCCAGTTTTCTTAATGTCATCCTTGAAGACATTCCAATCCATAGGAACAGAGAAAGCTTACCTTATTACAAAGTTGTGACTATCAATCTCCTTTCCACATTCGCTATCTAGCAGAATGCCAGAATTGCCAACAACTGCACAGGTCTTAAACCTGCGATTTTTCATTGGTGAAACTTCAGGGAGGAGGCTATGCAGATCTTGAGAAATATTTAGTGTCCGACGCCTGTCAAGTACATAGTGTATGACATCACCAGGCTTAAAACTGCTCTTGACCACAGAGACATCTCGTTCTGCATCTAAGAAACGAAGAATGTTCTTCCTATATTTGAAATACAAAGGAAAGTTTTCCATTAATTACAACATATCTAAGACCAGGTGATATTTAAAAAGGAACATATGATAAAATAGATATGTATATTACTTAACTTAAATTGTCAAATGGTAGTTATATCAATCAGTTATAGAATAAAATAGATGCAAATCCACTGCAATTTAATAGAAGTAATGTGAAAAGATTAAATAAATAAAATTATTTGCACATAGTTCCACAATGATTTTGCAACTAAATATAATATATATATTTACTCTGTTTGTACAAAAAGTCTCTATAGAAATAAATATGAAAATATTTATCTGTTAAAGTACTATTGTTATAACTGCTATGACTTGGCTTTACAGAAGTATTCTGATAGCTTTAATCAATATTTCTAGTCATCTATTTTACTTGCTTACATAAGGCAACTTCAAATAACCTGAATTTGTTTGGAATTAGAACTTAGTTAACTCTATTTAAAGCATAGAAATGCCCAAATAAATTGACATGCATTTATCCAAATCCTCTGCATGCCTTAATTGTCTGAAAAAAAAGTCAAATCTTTAGAACTTTCTAGTTCAAGGCCCAGGAAATAACATGGGTATATTACAGAAAAGATGAGCAGATAGGAGACTACACTGTGTGTGATACAGGAAATTGTTCCCTAATGTTCTTTTTCTCCTTCTGTTTGAAACTGTGCCTAAGTTTTTCTTGCATATATGAGTACTCAGAATATTCCCAAATTTCTAAATCCAAGTGTAGCTGATTTTGGACATGCAATTTTTTTTAAGATTTATTTATTCATGCATACAAGTGTTGTGTCTTATGCCACCAGGGAGTCCCCTGAACAATGTAATTTTCTTAAATGGGATGTGAGTGGGTCATGAGAGATACAAACTTCCAACTTGTTTGAGCCACTATATTTTAAGGCAATCGATACTTAGTCTATCCCATACCTAGCAAAAAAACTTGATTATGAAAGTAAAATGCTACAGAAATATAATATGTAAACATAGATGTAGTATTTAGATGATGACAAGGAGAAAATAGCTAGCTGGAAAGTTGGCAATCTTTGGCACAGTATGATAGAACACCAGATTTAACTGTTGTCTATATAATTTAGGAGTCATGCCCCATATCTAATGGCTATTGCTCTATAAGATTTAGTTTAAAAGCATATGTATATTGTTTTATGTTAGCTGTTTCTTTGGGCAAAACAGTGATGTAATAGCCACGTCAAAACTGAGATGGGGGAAACATATCCACCAATGGCTTGTAATCTGACTTAGTAGAGAGACTAATTATCAGGACCTCCCAAATGTTCCAAGTATCCCAACTAGCAAGAGATCAATTATAGACCTCAGCAGCAAGAGGGATACTGTCTTCCCACCTATGTCTTCAGTGTGAAATGATTTGCATATTGCTGCCATAAATCAAGGGAAAAAGGACATAGAGACATAAGGCTGAAGATACATATTAGAAGAAATCTTTGGGCAGAGTTATTATTTATTCCAAGACATAACTGGTATAATTGATGTAACTAGGAAATAGCCCAGGAGCCTTGTAGGTTTTTGAAGGTATTGCATAGCTGAAGAAACTATGAATCTTACAAAAATCTTGAATTGTTTGATTCTAATGCTACCAAATACATACCAGCTAGAAACAATCTGAGAACACTCTATACTGTGTTGAAGGTTGGATATTATTTATTGATACACTCTTATTGCAAACTTATATTTTCCAAATGCTAAAAACACTGCCATTACTATAACATTCATAATATGATAGACTTATTTTTCTGCCTAGTGGTATTATTGCTTAAGCTCCATGACAATTCATAAATTTCATTACTGAACACAAAATATGACCTTTCACCACCTCATCAAAAGGGTTATTCTACAAATTACACATATAAACCAGTTTGTTTTAAATGTACCCCATTTAATGTATGATTGAATTAGAAAACTAGATGAAAACTAGATGATTGAAAAATTCATTTGGCGAGATATGTCCATCAGCTCTCTGAAAAAGAAAATACCAGTTGAGCTTTTTCCTCAAGTATTTGCAATATCAGATCGATAATAAAGAGTGGGACTTGCACAGTAAAAATGTGTATAAATATCCTACAAATGAGTATTTTAATCAATATACATATTGTCAGACACCATAACAGGTCATCTAAAAAATACAAATTATATGAGAATACCTGGTGAAATCAACAAGTGTAGAGCATACAATGCAGAAAATTGAGCAGCTTTTAATTATATTAAGGTTGCATATATGATTCTTGACAAATGTTAAAAACTTTCACCAAAGTTAATAATAACACCAAGAACAGCAATTCATTTAATTTTTTGTATATATTTAGTAAGTATTATTTATTTGTCAGAGGAGAAAAGAAACTAACAACACCTGCATTACAATAACAAAAAAAATTAACTTCCTGTGACATTTGGAAAGGATGAGCTGAGCTAAAAAAAAAAAAAGATGCACGGATGTGGTCAAATCACCTTACGAAAAGGCACTATCATATCTTTTGAACATAATTTAAAGGCGTTGCTATAGATATTTGAAGATATAAATCACAAGTACTGACAGGCTTTGCAAGCTTGGTGAATAAATTAGATGTCCCGATTTGAAGCACACTCTTCTACTTGGAAATCTAAAAGGGAAAATACCTTTACTCATGAAAAAAGTTAACACTGAATGTACTTCTACTGAGCACAAGAGGGACATTCCATAACAGCATCTTTACTATGTTATAGAAAGGTGGCTGCAAAAATAGTTGAAATCTAGTCTTCTCAATTCCGAGTCCAATGGGTCATCTTTAACTGATTTACACTTAGGGAAATTTGATACTAAATGATTCACTCAGGTTTGCAAAGATTTGAAAGACATCTTCTTGTCTAACTCCTAATGATTAATTATATAAATAATGATTTTAAAAATATATATAAATGTGATCTTTTGATGTTGCCATAGGCTCAATAGAATATACTAAACAATAAAAATAAGAAAAAATGTTTTTCCAAGATAAAATAAAAAATACTAATTCACAGCAAGTAGTCAAACTATTAAAATGTAAGTTCCCTGGGCAAAACTCAGCCCAAAGGTTACTGTAAAATTTGTTATTATAAATTGCAAGGGGGTGTGGTGAGGAAAACTTGAGCGTCTCTAGTATGTTCTTTTTGTTATAATCAACCAAACTTTTAGTTTCTATTTTAGGAATTTATGCATAGAGAATTATCTAAGCTAAGATGCCTGGTGTAGAATGGGAAAAAGACTGACAATAATTACTATGAGTGAATAATATCGTACCAAACCTTAATATTTTTTTTGGAAACATTAAAGGAAAGTTCAGTTTGTTTTTTGTTTTTTTTTTTCCCTAGTCGTCTGAAAGCTTCCTTTATTTATTTTTAGATTATGGATGTAAAGGGCTATAAAATTTTTTGTAGGTTTGTTCAGTATAGATGTTGTTTACACTGTAATTTAAGGGAAGAAGTAAAAATCCCCTATTGCTCAAACATATTTAAATGCTAGTAGAAACAAAAATACTGTTATAATAAACTGACAGTATTTCAAATATACCCAAAGTGAATGCACAGGCTTTGGCTCAGAAGGTAATTGTTATGAATGACAAGAGTTTAATAAAAATGACTTCAGAATGAGAAGGAAAGAAAATTCAGTTTAATTTGTGTATGGTAAAGGAACATGAATCCACAAAAGCTAATATTTAATATTATGCAGGTGTTACCAGTACAAACTTTCATACTATGTGGTCAAATAATTATTAGATATTTAAAATAAGGGATACGTTTCCTATATGACTTAGTAGAACAATAAAAAGATGCTTTGTACATCTTTGTCACTATCTAAACTTAAAATAACTTTTGAAGCCCCACTCAGATAAATATCTAAATTCAACAACTTTTTAAAGATGGCTAAAACAATCTTAAAATATGTTTCACTTTCAATGAAACTAAAAGTTTTAGTCATAGGCCAATTCTTATTTAAAGTGAAAGATTGGTTTAGACGTTAAACTGACAGGAATAGATTCTATACAGAAACATTTCAACTGAAGTTTCAACTAGAACTTCCCTTTCAGCAGTACTTAACATTTAGAATAACAGCTGCAGAGCCCCAGATAATTAATTTACTAAACATTGTTTTCAGTTGTGAAATAAAGCTAACCTATCACCAGGTGCCATTCTTTTTTCTCTGTAGGTTTCTTGTCAACAACCAGCATCAGTGCTGTGGCAACTAAATTTTAGTCTAAATAACATTGCTGATTCCAACAGAAAGAATTCTGAGAGTAATCTTATGATTAGAATGCATAATAAGCTGATAGGCAAATGAGAGTGTGTGTGTAGTTTACATATAGGAATCATTCTTGCAAACTTTTAACTCCAGACAAAAATCATCAATCGATTTAATTGTTACTGACATAGTTTATACAAGAAAGGAAAAAAAGTTTTCAAAATGCCAAGTGTTTTATTATGCCTAGAAAATAACAGAGGGAGTACAAATATTTTTGTTCTAAAAGGTTATTTCTGCAAGTATGTTGTTCCAAAGCTACATAACTTATAGCAAGGTAAGACTTCTGAGTTTATAGAGTTCTAACTGTATAGAAAAGATATTCCAATGGCAGAAGAAATACCCTCAACAAACAAAACCAAATGAAAAGACCAAATTGTTCCAAAGTGAAAAGAATTTTTACTTTAATTTACTTCTCAGGCTGTCATTTTACATCTGGTTTAGACTACCATAAACTCAAACTACTATAAACCAAAAAGATGCATTTTAATAATATTCATTATTTTTAGTATTAAAACTGTAGTTTCCTGGGCCCTCCCCTGGTGGCATAATGGGTTAAAGCACAACACTATGAAGCAATACGTAGTCACTGCAGCACAAGTTCAATCCCCAGCCAAGGGAGTGACCCACATGGCCTGGCAGACCTCTCCAGCCTCACGCGCTGCTCAGCAGTGTGTTTCAGCCACTTGAAATTGATTAATTATCCCATTACAATGATAAAAATCAAACTACTACCTACATAAAACCAAGCCTTTAAAATGAAGTTATTTTAATTGTGAAATTTACTGTAGAATAAACAAATTCCTTAATATTCATGAATCATCAAAGTACAAAGAACTAATACATGGAATCAGCTCTCTTAAACATCTCTCTGGACTTCTGTTGTTGAATATATATGAATCAGTTGTCAAGCACACAGGGCTCAGGAAAATGGTAATAAGAAGGAAAGTCATGTCTATTGATGAAGTGAAAAATTTATTTTCAGCGACTGTTTCACATTTTAATGCAAACAGACAATTTATTAGGAATGTCAGAAGAGCATTATAAGTTTAATGGAATTTTTAAAAATGAGGAAGATTTGTAAGCATAGTTTAATCATGCAAAATAAAAACTGATTAGTTGCAATGTCCAGATCATAAATTTTAAGGTAGAATTTTGAAAACACTTATAAAATATGTGCACAACCACTCACAGAAAAAAAAATACAGTTCTTCATAAATGTTATAGCTATGTGAAATAAACAAAGAAAAATAATAATGTAAAAATACTTTGTAACTAGATTCCAGAATGTCTTAAAAAAATAAATTGTTAAGCCAACAATAAGATATTTTCACACTCTAAATTTTTTATAACAGGTGATAAACTGATTAAGACTCACTAGTCATGACTACTATAAGCAATTATAGTAGGGACCGTTTACATATTGTACAATAATAGCTTTGCATGTTATTTTCTTGCAAGAATGTGACAACTTTATATGTATTATATAGTATTTGCTCGGTGGAGTTCTGGTTTAGTGCTTTATTGGTTAAGGAGAATCATTTGAAGACAATACTAATACTTTATTCATAGTATCAGCTATTGTAATTGAAAATATATCATCCTCAAAGATGTGAATGCAATTTACTTACACAACTTGGCAATTATGATTTTCTTGGGTCAATTTATGTTCAATTACCTTTTGATTATCTTAAACATAGTAAAACATGTATCTGTAGACTATGCACATCCCTACAGTATTAATTTTTATAGATATGAGTAGATATATTCATTATCATTGCTCATTTATTTCATTTGTTAAATTTTTCTTTATCTGATATGTTATTTAGCATGGCAAGAGATAATTAATTCAATAATTACAATTTAATTTTTAAAAAAGATTTATTTATGTATGCATACAGGTCAGAGGTGTGAGGGCGGTGAGAGGACTCACCAGAGGGAGTGGGGACAGAACAGGCCAATGGACAAAGTACACTGCTGAGAGGAGCAGTGGACAGGTCAGGAGATGTCTGCTGCGCCATGTGGGTCACCTCCAGGGCTGGGGATAGAGCACGCACTGAAACTTTTGCTGCTCACTTGCTGTGCTGTATCCTAACCTGCTGCACCATCAGGGAGGGCCCACATTATTCCTATTTCTTGGGCCCTCCCTGGTGGTGCAATGGGTTAAAGAGCAGCACTATGGAGCTAACCACAGCCTCTGTACCATAAGTTCAATTTCTGGTCAAGTAAGAAACTGTATTTCAGTCAGTCTGCCTGTTCTGCTTCCCACTTTGTCTATGGTGAATCCTCTCACCCATTGCATCTATGGCCTGTGCTCCTTCTTGTAGGCATAAATAATTAAAGCTTTTTTAAATGTGGCAAAAAATAAATAAATTGTTACAATTTCTTATTTTGCTTCCTTTCATTATTTTTCTGTGCCCGATAGGTATCAATACCTTCTTGACAGATAATTCAATTGAAAGTTCTCTTTCAGGTATCCTTACAGATCAAATTAAAAAAAAGTCACTCGCCCAGTAATTCATGAAAGTGGGTAGGTTCCCAGAAACTGATACTAAATGACACAAATTAGGATGAAACAGTTTTACCACAGGTCAGTTCATATAAACAAGAGTTAAGCTCTAACGGCATATTTCTGGTTATGAAAATGTCACGAAATTTCTGAAGTGCTGAAACACTTGTCATATAAATGATAATCTGTATTCATTCATTCATTTCCTAATCCAATTACTCCAGTAATTGGTCAGGAGCTCAGCAGCTCAGGATATAAATTGTAACCAAGCCTTACAGTACACTCCTCCACATACCCATGCTCACTCAGATTGGTACAATTTAAAAAAGCTGGTGACCCCAACATGTATGTCTTTGAAATTGGGGAGGAAGCCCACACAGACATAAGGGGACCATGCAAATCCCACATAGCTAGGAATTCAGGTTTTTTTCTTTTTCTCTTAGTATTACAATGAAATAATGTTGAATGAAGAGGTTGTTTGAGGACCTGATGCATTTCTTTTCTTTCAGTATTCCTCCAAGTAATAGCAATCTTTATTCTGTTCCACACAGAACCACTATAGTTATAACCCTATCTCTTTCCACATCCTATTACTTTTCCCTTATAACTGTCTAATCTTTCAGTCAGTTTCAGAATAGAGGTGTGAGATGTGAGGAAGATGTCAGGTAGCTATCAAGAGAGTCCCAGGTATAAAAAACTCAAACTGAAGCAATCAGGGCTAGTGCTGGCTTAGGTGAACTCCTGTATTCTCAGGAGGAATACAGGTTCAGATGTCCAATTTTTTGAGAGTATATAAAAAGCTGTACTTTTGTTAGAAGATGTCTAATTTTTCATATTGGTTGTAAGTGTTTTTAAAGTTGTTTTTCTCTATAGATGAAGAAAATCTGACTGACAGTATTTTACCAAGAAGACCACAATCTAAAATGCTGTTATCAGACTACTCATATCCTCATTTTTGGACTCCACCAGCAAATATACAAAGTTCCCCCTTGAACAAAAGCAACCTTTTGACATGCCGTGTTTGGTTCCTGTTTCCCTTTCCATCACTGTCAAAACTTAAAATAAAAATAATAATAATAATAATAATAATAATAATAATAATAATACAATCATTCCTGCATTTCCCTAATGTCGTTTTATTATTTAATTTCCAGACATTGTCTCTAGTAGATTTCAGCATGCCATGAGTGTCTTAGCTGCAATGCATTCTATGAATCGGTACTCATTCGCTGAAAGATGAGTATAGCAGGTTCTTCAAGTTGGTGATAATCTACAATATGTTCATTACAAGTGAGATCCTACAAGTGAGTAAGCAGAAAGCCAGAAAAGCAGAGCAGCAACTTTTCTGCTTATCCACCCTCATTTTTCTTTAAACACTTTTTTTTTCTTTTGCGTACAATGATTGGCTATTAACATTAAAAAAAAGTGTATGAGATAGTGGCTATTGGTCAACCCACATGTTAATCACTATCTCTTATACTATTTCTTTGTGTGCTACTAACCAATCATTGAATAATTGGGATTCTGCCAATACTGGAAGGAGGGAAATAGTATTTTTCTATAAGGATAGAAGTTTTCTTAAATTAGAAAAAAAGTTCTGATCTCCTATAATATTTTTTCAAAGATGTATTTATTTATGCATGGAAGAACTGGGGTGTAGGCCAGGAGTATAGGATAGTGTGAGGATTCACCAGAAACAGAGTGGGGAGCAGAACAGGCAGACCTACTAAAATATAATGTCAAAGGGAGCAGTGCGCGAGACAGGAGAAATCTGCTGTGCCATGTAGGTCAGCTCCTAGCATGGAACTCAGGCTTCAGCAGTGTTACCAAAATAGTGCTGAGACAACCTCTATGCCATAATAGAGGCCCCCATAATATTCTTAAACATTCCGACTATCGCAGCTGTGTAACTACAGAGAAAATATTATGTTTGCTTTTACCATAATTTGGCAGGTCTGATCTTAGCTTTCTTATCATAGCATTATAAGAGAATACAGCAAGACAATGGCTATATATGTGCATATTAGCAGAGTTTGATTTCAAGAGCATGTTTAAGTTAAAATGCTAAAATGCTAAAATACTAAAAAGAATCAGTCAGTGATCTAGAAAACTTATTTTCTGAGTTTTACTTATTTAGGATATAATTATGGAGTCTTTTTTTACAGTTCACATAGAAATACCTACCCACTCATAGGATAAGTCAAATTTATTTATAATTATCAGCAAAATAGAAGCTGATTAACTCTTCTTTTGTCCAGTGTGAGAAAACGCAAGGTTACAAGCTTTATAAGTAAATATATTTCTCAAATATATGTCCATCCTGAGTAAGAATAAAGAATGTATGTATAAATTCACATTCTTTTGTATATTTTATTCCATTAATACAAAAACAAAGATCACATATAGATCCCAAACTCATAGATTCATTCTTAAACTTCTAACCGTTTCAGCTTTATGGTTTCAAAACCTTCAGTGAGCAACATTAAGTAGAGCTGGTTCACTCTTTTATTAAAATATTCATACATAAAGTATAAATGAAGCATTCAATATATATTAGACAAGTTCTATGTACTGGAGAACATGGTATGAAAATTATTCCTTATAAAATAAACTCACCTTATCTCCAGAACCAATGAGGAATTAATTTTCCAACCTTCTACAGAGTGCTGGAAGATTGAAGAACCGGCCTTTCGAATGATTTTATCGGAACTATTGACAAGTGATCGGCTCAAACACAATTCACCATCTCTGAAACAAACAAAAAATCCCAGCTTGATTAAAATAAGTATTTTGTTATATAGCATAATACATAATTTAAAATTACAAGTGACAAATTATAGATAAACTTTTTCTATGTTAGAAAAAGAGGCAGAACACGATAAAATGTATAAGGATTAAATGAAAATGACTTATCAGGACAATCATTTTCAATTATTCATGAAATAATTTCACTACATATAAAAAAAAAAGAGTCCTGTGGTACTTAAAGAAAAAAAACATTTCTCATCTAAGTTCTGCTCCTCTCTAGAGGTTCCCACCCTACTGTGCTTAGACAATAGAGACAGGATGTTTGGTCAATTTCCCTGCCTCTATTGTTACTCCTAAAATCTTAACTTCATTTTTATAGAGGATGTATAAACATAATGGAATGAGGTTTCGTTTTGGTCAAGAAGAACTCAGACAATCAGGTGATCTGCTCATGTTCAAGGTTCTATTACTTATTAGCCTATTTGTCCTTGGAAAATATTCCTAGGGCAGAATGGACTTACCTTTCCTTGAAAATTGCAACAACATTATCTAATATGCAATGACCTTGTGAGGATTAAGTGGAACTCTAGATATGAAAGCAATTTACAAAGCACTATTAAGTACTAATTTAGGTCTCAAAATCCCTCCACAATGTGACATTTTCCTGACATTGATAGTGGAGGGGAGACAGTTTGTAGAAGGCAGAAAACTCATTCAGTAGTTATTACTACTGTTATTTTCTATTACATTAAAAAAAAAAAATCAACTGTGCTTTCTCCTCCAGTCAATAATGTTAGGCAAATATACCATGTGACTGGGAGTAGCAGTGATACTGCTGGTGGTGATGATGGTGGTAACTATGATACCAGTTAGGACATAGGGACATTTATAGTTGGAATAATTCATTGTTCAGTAGAGTATTTCTTATAATAGATGAATAGTATCAATTTACATATAGGCATTCTGCATAGATTTATATACCTACCAGGTCAAAAAGTCACCTTTTTGTGATATAAGCGCACTTACTATATGTATTTGTTCCTTACACTTTACCTTTTAATTTTTTTGAATCTCAAAAACATAGTTAAAAGTAACATAACTATTTGCTCAGTCACACAGGCTAAATTTGTGTTTATTATGTAGGCAATCCTCTCCTACTATCAATGGAAACATTGCCTGTGTAACAGCTGTTAGATGAATTCTGTAATTGGAGGCTTATAGTTTGTTATTTTGGATTGCATTCCTTTTTAAACATGTAGTTCTAATTTGGAACAACTCAAGGCATCAACTAATCCTTGTGAAATTTAGAAGTCTATAAAATCAACATTTTAAACTGTCTTATTGATGAAAAGGATACACTTGCATGTCTATGTAAGGATAATAATAATTATTTTATAGAGGTCATTTGGAGGCAAGGAAACATAAGTAAAACTTACTATTCAATAGCCCAGGAGTCAAGTCTTGTATATCTAATGATAATAGCTACATATGAATGAAAGTATGGAATGCACAAGTTTATCTTAGGCTTTGGAGATATGCTTTTGGAGATATGCTTTTAACAATATAAGCACAAACTCATTATTTCTGGGGGGGGTTCTTCATCTCCTTAATGTGGCCATGTCAATATTATATTTTTCTGAGTAGATTGCCATTATTATAATAATTCTTTTCAACACTACTAAACTTTTATAGGTGTAACAATAAACAGAGGCTAGCATTTTAGATATCTATAAAAGAGTGTCTTATTGATGCGGATGGATATAGCTTTACATCCAGAATGAAGGCTGTATAGTACTTAATTGTATGAATCTTTTCAGAACTTCCAAAGTTTTTTTTTTTTTAAGTATTCAAAATGTTACATGAGTTTTATATAAATGAAATGCTACCACATTACTCTGTTCTTTGAATTATTTTCATTAATGGTGATAAGCCAACTTTCAGACTTTTATTTCTAGGAAGAACTTTGAAGAAAAGTAGCTTAAGACTAGCCACATTTTACATTTAAGTCAAATGAATTCATGTGAGAGAAGGCCAAGCTTAGTGCGATATGAGGAACTGGGACAAATTTCTTTATATAAAGTTTAATAGAACCTATGGGATTTTTGCTGGTGACCTTGGCAGTATTTTGTCTTAGAAAAGTTTTTCCTTCCCTTGAATGCAAGGCATGTAGGATATTGCTACCCCCTACTACTTTCTCATTCCAGATTGGACACGATTGCTAAACAGCTGCACTGAAAGCATTTCTTGCAATGGGATATACAGGAAGATTCAATAAGTGCTCCTAAAGGGAAAATTACAATGAACACATCAAGGAAATCATTCAGCATAAAGCAATAAGTGTTATCAAACATTCCTGCTTATATGAAACTAAGAAAAAAAAACATTTAGATAGTTGTTACAAACTCTAGCTATATATTTTTATTTGCAAATATTCTCTTTAAAGTGTGAGTAGCCAGATAAGATTTAAACTTATCTTGGTTCTGTAGAAAAACACAAATGTGATCAATTTCATGAAATTATGTCCCCAAACACTTGATTCAATCCCAATGAAAAAATAAAGTATAATTTGACTTTAGTATGAATGTGTTCACTTGGACTAGTTTAAATTTCTTTTTCATATAAAACTTATAAAAGTAATCTAAAACAACTTACATTAAATTAAAACTGAACAAATAACAGATTTTTGTCTTTACCCAAGTATCAAACAATTAAAAATTCAGAAGATATGATCTGCCTTAACACAATATTTATGACTTTTAGTTGAATTACAAATGTATCATTAAGTAAAGAGCAAATTCTGTATTTCCTGGCTTAGAGGAGTGTGTTTTGCCCTGGAATACACAGGAACTAACTTTGCTCACAATGGTGATGCTTTAAATTTGAATGTTTATCTCCACTGTCAGCTTTATCATAATTTTCAGAACCAATATTATTTATCATTTAGTGAAACAATTTAAAGCATACATAGTCAAATTAGAAAGGAGATCTCTAGCTGATAAGAAGAGTTCAGCTAAAATCTCATTTTCAATCAAGCAGGAAGAGTATGGAGCAGATTCTAAGGAAAGATGAGCAAAACAATAATATATTATAATTCATGACACACTTTTTAATGTTATTTTATTAAGTGAGGATATTCAGATTGGATTTCTTTTTTCTTTTTTAATCTGAGAGACCCTAAGTTAACACATTTCAAATTAAATCCAAATAGCACACAGAACCAGTGAAATCATGTATTATTTTTTCCACAGAGAAAAAAAAATTAGTCAAGAACAGAACACTTCATATCCCAATAATCTGAGCTAAACTTTAGTCAGTCATTTTGCCTACCAGGCAACTGATAGTCTTGCACAGATGGAAATAGCAGGTTTAAATGCTCAATAAACACTTGACCTACTCCTGAAAAATTTCTGATTAAAAAAAATGAGCAGCTACTATTCCTCTAGAGATAGGAAAATGTTGATATTGTTAGGAAAGTTGTGTTGGCATTCTTTCTCCTGGATAGAAAGGCTGTCCACATTCTCCATAAGCAGAGCAATAATGTCCTTAATTTAGGTGGAACCTCCAATTAAGAGGATTAAGGACAATTGAATAGACACAGAAATTGCCTGCCTATTCCAAAATGGGAGTTGGGGAGGAAAAGTAGGAGAACTGTTCTAAAATTCAAGGATTATGGAAAGCACAATTAATTGTCCTAAAGCACACAGTGCCCCCCAAAGGTCAGAGAATATCTCTCCCGCCACCCTTTTGATACTGGCCTCCTTTCTGGGGCCAAACGTCCACTCTAAATCCTAATCTCAAAACTAGCTCTCCACGTGCTCTTGGCTGTGTAGAAAGAGTCAATGACATAGATGCTCTGATGAGTCAACTTCTCCCCCAGAGAACTATTCGTGAGTTGAAACCATGAACTATGATCGCAGACTTTTCTAATGAACATTTCATACCTAGGAAAAGGGAAGGAGCGCTGGGGGACACGGAGCGGGGGGGGGGGGGGGGCGCCGCGCGGGGGGAGGGTAGCTAACTGTCCTTCTCACACTACCCCTGGAAGCGCAAACTCCACGTTTCCAAAGAAAAGCCCGCGGCAGTAGAGGCAGCCAGGACGCTGCTGGGCACCGGGAGTAGCACAACGCTGGCAGCGGGCTCTCTGTTTCGCCCCGCAGGACTGTAATTGCGGGTTTTAATTAAGGAGGAGGAGCCCAGTAGTCAGCTGAGCAGTAAAAACGATTTTTTTTTTTTAAGAGGGCCGGATTCCTGCAATAAGGCTTCCCCGATCTCCTCACTCATTCTTCCATCCTCGCGCCAGCTCTGGGCGCACATCTTGTCCCCTTTAATTCATTCCAGCTCCTGCTCTCAGCTTTTTCACAGGCGATGGTAGAAATCGCAGCTCAGGCCGAAAGGGTGCACGTTAAAACCAGCCCACCTGGCCCAACAGCTTTCAGCCTCCTCTTCTCTGAGCCGGCTCAGATCCCACCAGCCCGCAGCGTCCTGGTCAGAGAGAGCCACAGGAAGAATGTCCCCGCCCCCCGAGACGTGGAGCACCTCAGGCCCGTTATTTCTCCCCCGGAGGGGCTGGGGTGCGCTCCTCCATCCCGCCACAGATTAAACGAAGCCAGGAGAGCGAACCTGGTAGCACCTCTCACCCGCCCCGCCCACTCCTGCTCTCCAGGGTCCCGAGCTCCCGGCCCCAACCCTCGGGGTCTGGGGGAGGACTGGTGGCTTTGTCTGGACTCAGGCTCATCTTCTGAGCCCACCAACCCGCAAAGGAACAAAGAACCTCGACCTCCACGCCCCAGCCTGCCTCTCTCCCCCAAGCGCCGGTTCATCACCTTCCTGAAGACCCCTTTGTCTGCCTTGGAAGCACAGGTCGGTCAGGGATACTCACGCCCGCACCCAAAGTCCGTCTTTTCTATCAATTGAGCTAAGCTGCATTTTCAACCCACCCATTCCTTGTGTAAACGACCTTATATAGTTCGGCATTTCCTCCGCCAGGATAGACCTTTTCTAGATTTGTTGATGCATAACCACCATCCAGCCCATTCTTTACAAGCCTTTTCTTTCTCTTGCAGTTCCTTTCTACTGTAATTCGGCCTGTCATAGTTTTCTATAAAATAATAATTCCTTCTGCAAGGATAAGGCGGTGCCTTGTTCACTTACTTAAAGAGGAGCAGAAATATTTACAAATTAAGTTTGTGTGTGTGAGTGCATTCATATTTTAGCACTCCTGTGTCACGCGCGCGCGCGTACACACACACACACACACACACACACACACAAGGTTTCGATCTTCTTTAAAAGAAAAAAAAAAAAAGATCCCAGAGAAAATAAAACCTGGCAGGCATCTCTGCCAGTGTGGAGTTTCCGATCGAGGACGCCTCCGGATGAGGGAGGATTTCCGAAACTGGACTTTGAACAGAGTTGACAAGCAGCAAGCAGGTTCACATCCTCAGAAAACGCTTCCAAGCTATGTTTGCAACACAAAGTTTCAGCCATCTCCGGGGTAAAACTTCAAAGACCGAGACGGTGGGGGGTGGGGAAGAGGAGGAAGGAAGTGTGATATTTAGAGAACTTACAGGGGTGGTGGGAAGGGTGCAGAGTCTGAACTCAGCTCGATAGACTAAAGACATAACAGCAATATAGTCGTTGTGAAGCGGCAGTAGCCCCGTTTCTAAAACTGTAACCATGACGCCCATGTGGTTTACCCATGAAAGGGCAAATAAGTTCCTAATCAAATCACCAGACACAGACCTAACCAACGCCAGAACAAAAACTAGAGGAGACACGTTTCCTGCTTTCTCGGATTTAATTCAGCTTTTCGGGGAGTCCGTTTTCTCTAATATCGCCCGAGAGTGACAGGGCAGAGAAAGAAAGAAAGGCAAGCAGATGGTGAATAAAGACATCTCGCTTTAGTTCTGGCCACGGATTAAAAAGACAAGACGCACGTTCTTTGTTGACACTTCTGCAGTGACTTCTCCTTCAGCATGAGAGCACCAGCGCCAGCACAAATGTCACTACCATCACACCGGGCAAGTTGAACTCCTACCGGGAGCAGCAGAAAGGGGAGTGTACACACCTCAACAACAGCCTTTGTTATTTAATTCATGAGACTCAACACACACATTCTCACGCTCAACACACACACACTCTCGACCTCGCTCTACATTCACATTTCACTTATGGCTTGACTTTTTGACATATCCTGAAATGAAGCTTTGAATTTACCCGATGAGTTGCGTCTCCTGGTGCTCCTCAGTTCTTGCTATTTCTTTTGTCTTATAAAAGATCAGGAGCAGACTTATGGTGCAGATGGTCCACCTCTTCCTAATGGAGCGCATCTTGGGTGCCCGGGAAAGTCCTGGTTGTCCCAGCTCCCTCACCTTCTCTTGATATAAAGGCTCCGTTTTGGGGAGATATAGTTGCTGGGGGGGAAGCAGTAAAAGGCAAGGAAAACGTGAAGCCAGGATCTCAGGAACAGGTCGTGAGGCTCCTCTGTGGCGGAGCACCCCCTGCTCACGGAGCGCTGCCCAGAGCTCGCTCTCGCGGTTCCCGCTAGCCCTGCCGGGGTCGCTCAGCCTCCCTGGGGCTCAAGTGTCTTTTCAGATGAGACACCTTGTGCTTTGGAGGTGGCGGCCGCTTCTGCAGCTGGATTCGGGGGCGTCACTGCCCTTCCCTTTTCCTAGCAGGGAAATCATGAGCAAAACCAGCCAATCACTGGACTGAGGGGGCGGAGGCTGCTGTTGCCTCGCGTTGCTAACTGCTTGCTGCTTGGTGAGTAGCGTCGCCCGCGCTGCCTTCACAGAGCCGAGAGAGCAAGCTCACAATCTTACAATCCTACATATACTCACTCGCGCGCACGCACCAGCTCTGTACACACTGGGCTGAGCGCATTGCGCTAGGAGGAAGTCAGGTCACCCTCGCGGGACGCGAAAGATTCAGCTCTTTGGACTGGGGAACACCGAGATATCGTGTCTACATTAGCGCCGAGAGGCACCTCCTCCGGGGACGGATTAGAGACCCGTCCGGCTCGCGAGAGGCTTTGAATAGATGTGGAAGAGGGTTGCAATAGGTGTAACCACTTACAGGCGCCTTTTGCTAAACACGCGCGCAGCGGGCACACGCACACACAGCCCTACTCAAAATAGAAAGATTGGGGAGGGAAAAGACAGAAGGAGAGGTTTTCTATTCCGTGCACAACTCCTTCTGGAAAGTACAATTACACACAGTCGATCTCCCACTGAGGTCGGGTGACCCAGACTGAGGTTTCTACCAGAAAGAGAGGACCGAGGTGTCATTAGGAACCTCACGGATATTACGCTTTTTTCATTGCTATTTTGAAAACTCCTCACGCAGAAGTCAAGGAAACTCCAATTCCACTTAAACTTCACTGCGGGGAATTCTGAGAAAAAAGCAGCTACCGAGAACCCTGTTCCCTCTTTAAACGCAAGCACATACACACGCATACATAACCGAAAGAAGAAAGGAGGGGTTGGCAGTGAGGCAAATCCAGAAAGCGCCCCTCCCAAAGACTCAGTGATAAATATTTAGCTTTGATTACCCTCCCTCCTACCGTCGAGTTCTTCCTTATTTCTGTGCCTTTGTGTGGAAGAAGCACTTTCAAGTGCTGATTTTGTGGTGGTCTGAGTATTTATCCACAGATCCTTGGCTCTCACCTCAGCCTTGGAGAAGCTTACTGGTGCCCTATTACCAAGTTTTGGTTTATTTAACTTCATGCCGCAGATACTGGTGAGTGTAGTTAGCAGGGCACCTGCAGTGTAAGGTGGTGCCTGGAAGGAAAATTTCTCCATCCTCATAAGTGGTTTCCAAACTCTTAAGCCTTCCCCACCTTCTCTATTGAATTCCTTTCTTAATTCTGGTTGAGCAGTTAGCTCCAGGTCTTGGCCAATGTTTGCATCTTCCCAACCCTCAGCCTGAAGGGTCCATGTTCCCAGTCCCCTGATTTAGTAAAATAAAAAGGATAATAGCTAGAATCTTTACTTGAAAATCTGAAATCCCTGTTGGTGTTTGCCATTCTTAGCCTAAGGTTTAGGAATTTAAGAACCTGTCAGTTTTAGAGCTTCATATTCACAGCAAAGAGAACTAGGGGATTGTGTCTAAATGCTCAAAGGAGCAAGTAATTATGAGTCTTTATTGACACTACAAGTGGCCCTCTGGGGTCCTTTCAAGTTTATTGATGTCTAGGCAACCCTGCTTGCATTAATGCAACTCTATCACACTGACTTCTCAACTAACAGAAACTGCAAGAATAAAGCAGTTTCTTATTTACTTTTAAAGGGAACTAGCCAACTGGGACAGGGAAGAGATAGGAATGCCTGGTTGGGATACTAAACTGGGTTGACCTATGATTTTTAAGAATAAATGAATATATTTTGGATTTTAATATAGCACACCTCACTAACAACTATAGACTAAACATGCACTTGATTAAGTACATCCAACATTTCTTAAGCAAATTACTGTGGGTCGGACAGTGTGTAAGGTCATAGATATAAAAAGAATAAAGTATATTTAACTAGACAGGAAAATTCCACTCATGGTGGGGTGGGAGGTATTGTGAAGGGAGGGTACATAGTTCATGAAAAAAAAAAAATGTAGCTTGGGCCTCCCTGGTGGGGCTGGGGTTAAAGTCGCAACATCAAGCTATTACCTGCAGCTGCTCCTTAGTTCTATCTGTTCCCCCTCAGGGACCTGACCCACTTGGTGTAGCAGACTCTCCTCTCTCACCTGTTGCTCCCCTCAGCAGTGTACTTCAGTGGATCTACCTGTTTCTGCTCCCCCACTCTGTCTCTAGTGAATCCACTCACCCTCCTGTACCCCAGTTTTTTCATGAATAAATAAATAAGAAATCTCAAAAAGAAATGAATTGCAATGTGGTCCTTCTACAAAAAGTAGCTACCTAGATACTTCAGATCTAGTATCTAGGTGGCTACTGTTTGTAGAAGCAGACAATGTTGTTTTAGTATTAGAAGCAAGGAATGTGACTCTCCTGGGTGTAGGTTCTTAGGAACGAGAATAAGCTTGGAAAGTAGTAAGCCAGGAAATAAAAGGAAGATAGAATTTTGCAAGTATTAAAAAGAATATGTAGGAATTTCAGAAAAGAATAAAATGTTCTTTTGGGAATTTTTTTTAAGATTTATTTATTTATGCATACAAGAATATAAGAACTGGGGTACAGGTGGGTGAGAGTGGGGAGCAGAACAGACAGATGTACTGAAATACACTGCTGAGGGGAGCAATGGGTGGGACAGAAGAGGTCTGCCATATCATATGGGTCACTTCCTGGCCAGAGATAGAACTGGTGCTGCAGTGTCTGGGGAAAACTTCATGGTGTTGTGCTTTAACTGCTGTGTCACCACAGATGCCCCTCTTTGGGAAATCTTTAAAGCACTTCTGAACTGTTAGGACAAGGAGTGTGAAGAGAAAGTAATGGGGAGAATGTTCAGTGTGATAATAATATTCTCTAACCTCACAAGGTCAAAATGTCTTCTTTAATGGGAAAGCCCCTCTTCCTAAAGAAAACTGATTAAGCTTATGTTAAATCAGGGAAAACTTTTCATCTGACCCAAACAAACAAAAATAAAACAATGCCATCAGCAGCAAAACGAAGGCACAATAACTATTTATAAAACACAAGGCAAACTTAAATGCCTACAAAAGAAAAAGTGACCTTTTCAATTGTATAATGCTGCTGTTTCTGGATTGTTAAGCACAGCATCTTTTATAGTGTCATGAACACTTTTGAGTGACTGTTATAGCTCAGTGAGAAGGAAGTTTCCCCTTCTCATACTTGAATTACATAGCATTTGAATATAGCTTAGCTCATCTGTTTAGGTTTATTAGATTCATATGATATGCATCTACAACATCTTGTCAATTAAAAAAATTGATAAGTGAACATGTAGGCCAAATTGTGCAATTGCTGCTTCTTCCAATAAGCAATAGGTACAAAAACCAAGATAACTGATTAGAAGTTTTGTCTATGTTAGTTTTGTTCTGTGCTCACTTCCTGCCTGCAGAATGTCAGTTTTGATGACCCTGAGAATTTAAAGTTGTTCCTAAATTCCTATTCTATCTTCAGACTCTGTTCTTCAATAAAGAGAACACATTTGTCTTTATTCAGCACAATTTTCAATTACAAAGTACCCTATAAATAAATAATGCAAGTAATGGCAACTGTTTTAAAATGCTACCTCATCCTTTAACTTAATGTAAATCATGTTTTAATTGCTGGCTGTGCTCTCAGCTTTAAGTGGAAAACAATGGGTAAACATCTGCGTTTCATAGTAGGTTTTTTTTTTTTTAAAGATTTATTTATTTGTGCATACAGAACTGGGGTACAGGCCAGAGGCTCAGGGGCGGTGAGAGGCTTCACCAGAGACAGAGTGGGGAACAGAACAGGCAGATCGACTAAGTACACTGCTGAGGGGAGCAGCGGGCGGGCCAGGAGAGGTCTGCCGCGCCATGTGGCCATCTCCGGGGCAGGCGGGAATCGAACTCATGCGGAAGTGGCTTTAGATTCCCAGTGCTGTGCTTTAACCCGCTGCACCATCAGGGAGGGCCTCATAGTAGGGTTTTTAATGGGTCATGGAATGTTATTTTTTTTAAAGCATTTTCAGGAGTAGAGCAATATTGAGTAGAAAGTACAGATTTTCCATTATACTCCCAGCCCTAAACATACACAGCCTGCCCCATGCAAGAGGATTACACTAGTTAAAATCAATGAGACTACTTGACAGATTGTTGTCACACATAGTCCATATTTACCTTAGGAGATTGTCCATTCCATGTGCTTTGACAGATACATGATGATATATTGTAGACAGGGTAGTTTTACTGCCCTAAAAATCCTGTATGCTGTGAACACTTATGTTGCCCACTCCGCTTGAGTCCCAGGTAACCAACCACTAGCTGTTTACTGTCTTCAGAGATTTTTCCTTTCTAGAAGGCATATGTAATATTCACAATTATGTAGTATTTAGCTCTTTCAAAAGAAATCCCTGGATTCTGGTACCTAGTAATATGCTTAAATATATTCACCCAAATATGTTTATGGCTTGAAAGCTCACTGAATTTTATAACAACTAATATTCCATTGTCTGGCTATATCACAACTTATTTATCCAAATACCACTGAAGGATATTTCAGTTTCTTCTGAGTTTTGACAATCACAAAGTTGTTAAAAATACAATGAATAGGTTTTTTGATGGATGCCTGTTTTCAACTCATTTGGGTAAATACCAAGGAGTTCAGTTCCTGGTACTGATGGTAAGAGTGCTTTATAAAAAGACTGACCACATTCCAAGTGGCTGCACTATTTTCCCATCCCACCAGCAACGAGCAAGTTTGTTTTGCTCATATCCTTACTGGTTTTTGGTGTTTCCCCTGTTTCAGATTTTACCATTTTCATAGATGTAAATGGTACATTGCCAACTTCAACTTGCATTTTCCTGACATGTGTGATGTGCAATGTCTGATTATAAATTTATCTACCACCCACATATCTTTTTGATGAGTTGTCTATTCAGATCTTTTGCCCATTTTTTTTTTTAGATACAATTGTTCACTTTCTTACTGCTGAGTTTGTATAATTGTGTAAGTCCTCTATCACCTATGTCTTCTGCCAA